GATTAATTAACTGCCTGTTCTTCAAGGCATGAGATCCCAGTAAGCGGATATAAAACCATCCCCATGCTTGAATAGTTTGAACCTTCATGCCATTGGTTAGCCTGTGGTTGCATCCCAGTAAGCAACCTTGGCTTCAAAATCTTTGACAATGCCTGTTTATGGAAGAAAATGAAGAAAAAGGAAATTTACATGTCAATTATAAAATTATAAATTACAGAATAACCAGCAACACAGGATCATGGAAAGCCACCTCATGGTTCTATGTGAAACCCGTGAAGCCAATGGAAGGGATACTATATATCTTATGGTTAATTTTTCCCATGACACGGCATAAGCTACCCATACTAGAAGTCATACTTCAAGAAAATGACATGAGCAAGTGAGTACCTTGGACAAGATTTAGCGGAGGGGTAATATTGTAGACCTAGTGTTCAATAAAACACCTCTCTGACAATCCCTCTCCCTCTTCTCAGAGCTAAGGAGTATTCTATCTACTGAAGGAGCCATATATGCGACATCTCTCTCATATTCTCACTTAACAAAGTTGCTAACTTCATAACAGCCTGTCACAATAACATAAGGCATATTCAGAAGAATTTGTATGAAAACAACGCTATTTAAAACACATGATACTTGCGATGTATTACCTGAATCGCCTCAAAAGTAGTCGACAAAGAACCGATAGGATTGTCAATGGCATGAACAATCGCAAGCAAAAGAGAATGGAAATGGGCAGCTAAAAGTGGTGTACTCAATTGTTGGATAGATATGCACCACCACCCCTAAATTGCAAACAGACTGCAGTATGAAATCAGCAGGTTAATATTCGGACACACGCGAAAAAAACAAAAAACTAAAAACACAAAAAGATTATTGCTTGTAGTAATAAATTCCGTCAATATAAAGAATAACCTTCATTTTTGTGGTTGTAATGAGCTTTGCCAGTGAATCTAAAACAAATTGACATCATCCACTGCGAAACAAAGAAATTGGTGACAGAAACTGCATAAAAAGTTCAAAATTTTAATTTCAAACGAAATCAGAATTTTGAGTGGCTACATGTACCTGCGATTTTCGGCGACGATGGACGGATAATATATCATAAAGCCCAAGCATTTTCAATGCCTGAGTTGCACTGCAAATTTTTTAAATAAAAAAGAAAAATCCAAGACGTATTCAGTTAAACCATACCATTAAAATAAATTAAAAACCCAGAAAAATGACATTTCGAATCGGAAGAACTCACATTTCTTCGTCATTGTTCCGAACATCGGCGACGGTCGGACGGATGAGGCTCCGGCAGCTCCGCGCAAGCATTTGAATTGAATCGTGGCAGTCGGAGGATTGCTGCTGGAGGTGTAAGAGGGTGGAGTAGGCGAATGACTTGTTTGCTTTGGTGGCGGCTGAAGAAATCAGGGATTTGATTTCTTCGAGCTGGTCTGAAAATCCGGACATCGTTGCGGTGGGGGAGAGGAAGCAGCAGTGCCCCAGACTACCGGTAGCATGTGAGGTGAAACCCTAATGTCGCACTGGATTTTTGGAATTGGGAGTCTTTTCGCGCCATAGCACGGAAAAGGGTGACGGGTTTATCAACCTGGGGCCTGTTGGGCTTTAGGCCTAAATAAATAGTAAGAAATACTTTTAAGTGTTTTTAGAACTAAAAAAATATTTCTTTAAAAGTGTTTTTAATCGCTTGTACTTGTTAAACGAGTCCTAAGTCCCATGTATTTCTGTGAGAGGATTTTTTGAAGTTCCACGACTTTTGGAAGGATTTGTACAAAAGAGTTGTGATAAGATTTCAGGTTTGCTTGTAGCGCACGTAAACGATTCGTTGAGTTTGTGATAAGTTCAATTTCTTCATTATGCGTGAATTTCTCCATATATATATATGTATATATATGCATATTATATACTTATGTGTGTGCTATAGTTACGTAGGTGAGACATTTGTACTAAAACTTATATACTAATGTATTCGTACCAGAATTTTATGTACCTATACATTTGTCACAATACTTTGTACCCATGAGTTTTTTTCATATAAATTTTGTATGTATTGTTGTTGACTTTTTTTTAATTATAAGTATTTAAATTTTGGATAAATTTTTATCTATTAGTGTGATTGGCGCATAAAAATATACATGACTTAAGAATAGGTTTATAAATGTTATAACACTTGAATATGGTAAGTTTTAATAATAAATACTTGAATTAGATTTAGAGTTAAAATATAAAAATATCTTATTTAAGTCATAAAATCTAAAAACTTCATTTTTTTCAAAACTAGTAAAGGAAAAAGTGACGATGAAACATCGCAGACAACAATTGGAGTCGCTCGGGTCAAATTTCATGTCTTGTGGAACAAGTATGGTCATATCAGTGGAGTCACTCGGATTTCACCTATTTTCCCGGATTTCACCAGACTTTTGAGGTAATTTTATTCCGATCAGCCTTTCTCCAGCTTTAGAATATGTACCGTTTGGTCTTCTATCTTTGTATATGATCCAATTTCGTACAATGTAGCAGAGACATTTCAGACCCAGCGGTGCAATCTCAAACGTCGTGCAAAAAAATTTGTAATGATGATGAATACTGTTTGCTTCCTAATCGATGAATAGAGTTTAATCTGTCAATCTTTTCGAAGTAAGGAGTGTTGAGGAAAAACACAGGTAAGCTTGTGGGCCCGGGGCAGAGTTCAAAAGCCATCTTCAGTGACGTTGTTTTGGGAAACCGTCACCTCCAAATTTAGTATTTGTAAAGATTTCCACCGCGATATCCGGAATACCACCTTACTCCGGTCCTAGGTATTAAATATTAAGCTAATGGAAAACCTTTTGCCCTAGACTCACGGTAATGCATTGACCAGATTAAGGTTGAGGAAGTGTCGGATCATATCCGGAATGACCTCTAGATTTAAATGTTAGTCTAACATGTTTGAGTTGTCTTTGTTTTTTGATTTCGTTTGTTCTTTCACCTTGCCCTCATTCCAAGTCAGAGGATTTCAATAGTGCAACGTGTAACCAAGAAGGGGTTTCTTTCTCAGTCCGAATTGTGTGTCCATCCTTAATGATTCTTAAACGAAAGTTTGTTAGGAATTTGGTCGGCTGCATGTGGGTCAAAAACTTTTTTTAAATCCTTTTGTCAAATCCTATGCGTCGGACTCGTGGACTTTGAATGTCGTTTTCGGTTTCTTCGAATGTGTCACACATATTGCATGTGGTGATGACCGGTTGTTGTTTGGATGGAATATTTTGCATGCGTGCAATATCCCTTGTGTGCACCCTGATGCGTTATGGTCTTGGTAGTTACTATATTTTACTTGGTCATCAAGCATTGTTGGTTTATAGTAATGTTCAGGGTAACCACTTACCACTCCGCTCTGTCTTATTTACCCACCATCACTTCTCTCTTCATTTCTCACCGAATCTCTCTCACTCACACTCCACTCTCTCTTGTATTATGTGTATAATGCTAGCTGCAAAAGTGACAGTGGAGGTTGTCCAAAGAAATATATTGGGGCTAATACTGGATGATATTCATGCGGAAGTTGAGATAGGAAGACCTCAATTTTGGTAGATTTTAGATGCTGTTATCTTGTAAAATGTTAGACAACTTCATTCACTTAATATATATTACCTAGTTAAACTCATTCTATTTTCTCTTCAAATATTGTTTCTAATCTTAAAAATTCACCCAATTCGTGAATTTGAGTTAAGGTTATTTTTTCTTTTCTTCTTTTCAATTTTCTTCTCAACTGATGCACTTTAAGGTTTATTAATTATAGATCGATATAATTAGTATGTGAGTGGGCAAGAATCCAGATGTAATTCATGTGAAAAAAAAAAAATTTGGTATAGCGCACGATTACACAGAAGTGCCCAATCAGTTGAAAAGGGCTACTAGACCTTTCAGAATGAAGGCAAAAATTAGACTCTATAATGCTTTGCCTTAATAACACAAACAACTGTATTGTGCCCTTTGACCAAAGGGCACACTCATAAAGGGCACACATAGAATTATTGTTGCTGCACTGTTGCTATTTGTCTATGAGCACATATGCTGGTGCTCTTTGGCCTCAAAGGGCACAAAGAATTTGATGCGTGCAGTGCCCATATTTTTTGTAGTGTGCCAAGTGCTATGCATATACATGCAACCGGAGAGCTTGTCTAACGACCGATTTCAGCAATCTTGATCCAAGATTTCAGAGATCTGTCATCGTAGTCTGTTTCATACAATGCAAAGTGAGTTATGGGGAAGGTCAAGCTAGTAATGCTCTCGTCGAGAACATTAACAATTTCTCCAGCTTTTTTCCTTTCTTCTTCCGTCAACTTCCCGTAGAGGAGACTCAAATATGGCATAGAACCTGCATCAAATATTGCAGACACGCAGATTACATACGTACATTCCCGTCAACACTTTAAGAAATTAAGTTACTGTAAACAACAACTTACTGTTGTAGAAACCGAAATGGTAGCTCCAACTTTGGGCATTTTCAAACAACTAAGAAAAGAACGTGTAATGATAAGTGAGTCTATTCAAGCTCAAACCAAAACGAGAAAGATGAAAAGGAAACAAAACAGAACAAAACAAAACATCAAGAAAATGAATATGTATTAACAAGTGATCGAGAAAATATATACCTCTCGATCCATCAATAATGAAACACACTGGTGATAGTAATTCTTAGTAACTGTAGACATCGAAATTTCAGTAAAACAAATGTTCACCAATGCATTAAAGTTTTGACGTGTCAAGGCATACATGGCATACGCCACGTGTTGTACAAATTGTACACATGGTGTGTGACTCAACAAAATAGGAAGAAATACCCTTGAAGGATTAAACAAGTTTTTCTTCTCATTTTGGGCAATGACAAGGCAAGTACATTTCAATCCATTGAGGATCAAAACAAGTTTTTCTCATTTGGGCAATGACAAAGCATACACATTTCAAGTTTAAAATGGTGTTAAGTGGGAAATTAGACCATAAGTTACACCACTTCAAGTTTAAAATGGTATTAAGTGGGAAATTAGGCCATAAGTTACACCACTTCAAGTTTAAAATGGTGTTAAGTGGGAAATTAGGCCATAAGTTACACCACTTCAAGTTTAAAATGGTGTTAAGTGGGAAATTAGGCCATAAGTTACACCACTTCAAGTTTAAAATGGTATTAAGTGGGAATTTAGGCCATAAGTTACACCACTTCAATTTCAATATTGCATTAAGTGGGAAAATTAGGCAATGGTGCTTGGAAAGGAAAAAAATATTTTGTGGTGGTGATTCATTCTCAAAGCCTATAAATAGGCTTCTCCATCAAGGTATCAAGCATCAAGGAATTCACAAATACATTTCTCTACTCCAAAATTAGAAGAGGAATTCCCCAAATCCTTGAAGCTTTGAAACTCCAAAGCTTCCAACCATCCAAATTCCCAAGAATTCCGAAGGATCAAGAAAGCCCTCTTCATTCTTCGTCAAATCCTCCTTCAAGATCAAGCCCCGACGGCCCTTGAAGAACTTACACCAACTCAAGATCAAGCCCCGACGGCCCTTGAAGAAAGTGTTCATTGTTCATCATCCGTTCATCCTAAGCTCAAGCCCCAACGGCCCTTTGGATCAACAACATCAACAAATCCACACATCCAATCGTTCTTCAAGACTAAGCCCAAAAGCCCTTGAAGATCCGCTCATCCATCAACCTTCAAGATCAAGCCCAAAAGCCCTTGAAGAAATCCACACAACCATTATTCAAGATCAAGCCCCGACGGCCCTTGAAGAAAGTGTTCATCCGTTCATCAACTGTTCATCCTTAGATCAAGCCCCGACGGCCCTTTGGATCAACAACTCATCCACAAACCTACACCCTACGAAGATAGAATCAGAGGACCAAATTTGAGAGAGATCGTAACCCCAAAATCATTAAACACAAAATATTATTTTGTACACGTTATTCTTGTTTCTTGTTTCAAGGAACTTTCGTG